AGGTGAAGTTATATAGCGCACTAAAAAGGGAGATATCGCGAAAAGTCAAAGCCACCAACCGCAAAAATTATTCTCGCGATTCGGAAAGGATTCTTGAAGTCTGATAGGTTGAATACGGTGCTCTTCTCCCCAGCGATCGGTGACTACCCCTGATGGGATTCTCCCAATGTGCTGTATCCTTACTGGTATTTAATGATTTGGTATACGTATAGTTTTCATCGACAACATTGCTGCCTATGAGCGCTTTAGTAGATTTCTTCATACGTGGCGCTCAAACCGCCTTTTGGAATTTGCTGAGGCGAGTCTTTAACGGGAAACCCGCATCATTCCTATACATATGGTGCACATTAAACAACTAGGGTTGATTACTGAAAAAAAGCAAAACAAAAGCATACTAAATGCCCTAGGTAGAACCCCAACCCAATCCAGTTTGTATGTGCCCAATTACCTCCATCTCCAACATTACGCTCTCATCCGCACAGCTGATACCATTGTGAGGACTCTACGACCGTACAGGTGACAATTTCCATGCTTTTTTTCTCTCTGCAGCTTCGCTTTTCACTGAAAGGACCCGTGCCTGTGGAGGCGAACTCTGAGTCGGCAGATCACTGTTGAGAAAATGGGGGCGTTCCTGATTCTATAAGCACTATAGGGTGCAATCACCTCCTTTATCAATTTTTTTTGCAGCAAATACCCGTATCAAGGTTGTTTCGTCCACAGACCAGACCACCCTCCCGACGTTATACTTTCAGATATAAAATACTTATCGCGAACCGTGCCTTCAACCGCAAGTATGAATGTTCGTCCCCGCGCTGTGCTACACACCATCGCCCAAGACTTTTGATAAACTGTGGCAGCAGCAGGGTGCATCTGAGTGGTTGCGTCTCCTAGGCAACAGAATTCAAGGTAGAATATTCGATGAGGCCGCTTTTGCCTTTCTACCACAGCAACATGACTGGGAAGCAGGAGATGGTATGAAGTGGGAGGCGGCACGTTTACCACACTGGCGCCAGTTCCCGAGCCGACTTCCGCCCAGGAACTGAGCCTTCTTCCCCGGGGACGGTTTTTGGTACCATATTTACATGAAGGATAAAACACTAGTGTTGTCGCCATCCCACAGAAGGACTGGTCAACGGCCAAGACTTTATCAAAAGCCACCACCTACCTTTCCGCAGATTTTTGAGTTATGAAAGTTGCAAACGTCTACAGCCATTAACCTCGTACACGACAAGATCATTTAGCAAGCTAAGTGTAGCGTACTGCAAATGCTCATATGTAGTACCTATAAAAATGAAAAAATGAGAAATGAAAAATACGAAGAATGAGAAAATGAGAATCTCATACGCATAAGTAGACATCGAATATATTTGTGTTCTACACACCACCTCATTATCAGTGACCAGATCAACCTACTCAGGTTCTTTGACGAAGCTTACCAAAGTGTAAAAAAGCAAACCTCAACCACTCGCTGGATTATTAGTAACACTTGCTTTTTTGTTCCACGATGAGCGGTTTTTTGGTTTCTACGGTGTTCGACTTGATGGGGAATCTCTTGCTGGTTCGCCACTTTATTCTACTATCCTATTAAAGGAAGAACCCGCGATTACTCGCCATCTCAGATGGTGGATTAGGGGGTTCCATATAGACGACAAGGGGTTGAGTAACTCGACTGTGAACAAAAAAAAGCACAAAAAACATGCCACCTGCCCTAGATAGAACCCCATTTCGATCCCAGTTTGTACGTGCCCAATCAACTCTATCTCCAAAACTACGCCCTCATATGCACGGCTGATTCACCGATAAGATTTCTACGATCGTACAAGTGGCGATTATCATGCTTTCATTTTTCCACTGGAAGTCGGTCATTAGGGGCGGAGTCTGGAGGCGGAGTCACTGGAAAAAGGAGGAGCCACTGAACCTATATTGCGCTACAGCGCCCCTCCCATAGAATTTTTGCCGCGAAACCGGATACAAGGTTGTTCTTTCGGCCGACCCTCTAACCTCCTGATGCATATTTCGAACCTTCGATACTTGATCGCGGACGTGCTTTTAACCTACAACGTCCTCACCATGATGAGACGTGTAGGCTCTTGTTAAGCACAAGCGAAGTTCCTGCTGTAGCATAGTTTTACAAGAGTTTACAGGTCTTCACAGGAGGCATTGGTAATGATCGATGAGAACCAACAAAATGCCCCCACCAGGGCAACTTTGGATTTCGAACGCCAACAAAACTAAGTATGACATCAATCATTTAGATAAAAAAATTACACAGTGTAATATTTGTCTGTATAGTGTAATAAATACAGGGTGGCACAGCATAAGTGAAAAAATCGGGGCATAAATTATATGGATTCGGGACGATGGTAGTGTCAGAAATGTCGTGTCAGAGCTGAAGATTCAAAACCACCTTGGCAAAAAAGGCCTTTCGCGATTATTCAACCGACTGTGACTTGCGAGTATAGGAGGTCTGGTTAAAGGATTGATTGTCCCTGTCAATTTTGCAGGAACCAGGAATGCAAGCATCCGAAAACCTTCGTAATTCTGACAGGAGAGCGAATGTATGGCGCCAATGTATTGAAGACAAACGAATTTATCCTCAGCGGCTATTTTCATATGCGCTTTTACGTAAAGCCGTAGCTGCTGTAGCTTTGACAGACAATGATTCAAGGGCCACGATCCTATTTCGTTCCCAACCATTTTGTCAAAATTTTCACCCCGAAGATTTCGTTTCACCGCACAGATTTATATAACAGCCTGTCGAAGAGGAGTTGTAAATCTGAGAGGTTCGCTGTGAATTTTATATAGGTTCTGTGAACAAGTTACAGCGAGCGGATAAGGACAAAAGGGAAACTAGATATCAAAGCTGGACAATCTTGAAAGAGGCCAAGCTGGGGAGGATTTCGACTCACAATTGGACAAAAAGATCGTTGAAAAAAATTTCAGATCTTGCTCCCACCGCCTCCAGGCAATTCTTCCCAGCAGATTCCTCGCGACAAGCTTTTTTCTCTTCTGGAAAGATCTTCCAAAATTTCACGTCAAGATCTCCTTTCTCATAGCCCACACTTGTGCGACAGCCCCTCGAACAGGAGCTAAATCTGGGAGGTCCGCTGTGGACTGAAGTGAATCTGTGGCCTTGTGATCCGGCCAGCTGGCACTCACACACCACGGGTGCTTCCGTCGAGCCGACTAGGTCTTCCTTTCTTTTCAACGGCCGGGCAAACTCATTCATTATTCGTCTGGGGGAGGGGCATATGGAAGGGACTTGAGGGGGAAGAGGAAACACACGCTTACATTGACCTACTCATTTATGCCTGGAATACGGAACGCTTTCATTCGTGCTTTATTGTCACAATTTGACCTAGTGGCGATTGGGCAATTTCCAACAACCAAATCAATTCTTAGTCAGGCCGATGGCGTTCACCGATAGCTGCCATAATTAGTCCGCCGACGCCTGACAAGGACGTGCGGGGACCCCAGTAAAAATCACGGGTGCTCTGGAAAAGATGGCACAAATGCTTATAAATCCAGGCTTGGATAGCACCTTAGAACAAATCCTTGGGCCCTCAGAGACTTACAGGAGAGTGCCCCCAGTCGACTTGCCTCCAGCCCAGTGTAGTAGCTCCGGTCTGTTCAGCGCCAAAGGCGAGCGACGAAGGCATCTATCCCCCGTCGTATTCCTTCCCTCGTCTGAACCCTGGCCACCATTCCACTGCCCCCACCTTGACTGACTACAGTAGCAGGGATCATGTCAAAAAACGTATAGGTAGGGGGTATTGCTCTTATACGAAATTAGTTTGAAATTCAACTCGCGGCGACCTTGTCCAAGTGCGCCAACCCTCGTCTTACGCTCACCACAGGGTCTGCATTTCGCGGCATTGACGGACGATTTTTCTTGTTTTGTTCCCCCGCCACAAATTGACTTCCTTTAGCCAGCTTTGGCTTTTTGGGCAGTCTCTATCTGAGTCCGCTACGTACGAGTGGATATATCTGATCGCCGGCTCTGCCTTTACGTGTTGTGAAAATTGTAGTGAAAAGACGGATAAGCAGCCCCCCCCCCCCTGGGTAGCGCTGAGCTAGGCGCCATACGGTTGAGGGATCGTTTCAAAGGACAGTGGTGTGGGGAAACTTTTACCGAGTTTACTTACTAGTAGTTCAAAAGTGTCTCTTGCTTTTTCTTCGCCAGCTGATTCAATTAGCAATTGGAACAAAATGTAGGGATGGATAGACGGGTCTGAGAACGCCCTAAGTAGAGCCTTCATTATTCAAAAGGTGAGTAGGAGGAGTCGCGGGTTTTCTTTTGACGAGAGTAGACAAGAGCACCGGAGTATGCATACAAACCAGAGAAACGACGGGACACCACAACTCAGCGGACAGGGGTAGTCACTACCCGTTCCGGAACTCAACCATTTGAGCAACCTTGCTCTCTAATACTCTACCATAGAATTTTTTGACTCAAAATTGGTGCAAGCTTGTGCATTGTGGCTCATACTATCTTGTCCACACAGGGCTCTGGTCATTACACGTATCGCGAAATGTATCTTTAAGTCCAACATTACATCACCAATGACTTGCCTGAATTGGGACGCGGATCAATATCTTTTTTTTTCCACTTTCCGATAGCCGACAAGAAGCGATTATTTTTATCTTTTCAGTGAGTGGAGGTTGATCCTTTCGCGATGGATAAGACAAGGTTTTTCACAAGACCCATGACTTCTGAATATAATGATAACTAGGTGTAATATAATATGTCATATAAACATACCGCACACAATATGATGCGATGTTCCACTTGTTTCGTCTCATTCTCTAAACCCTGCCAAGTGAAGACCTAGGCGTGTGGCACTTTCCACATTGGTCCAGTAAGTACTATAAAGAGAGCGGTACATGCCTTGCATAGCTCGTTGCGTGTGCGACATTGTTTCGAGGATGAAGCTCCGATACTCGACTTGTGGCAGGGAGCCCTGGCCCGCACTCCTGGCTTTGGTTATTACTTCTCACGTTTGTCGCCCTGCGCTATCTTTTTCTTCGAACACCTGAACGAGGATTCCTATCAACAAGGTGCTCGACGGGTTCTGTGTTTCTGCGACCGTGAGTCTGTATTTCGCGCCGAGACCGACATCGTCTGGTCCGAAATTATGGACGCCCAGACAGCCCTTCGTCCCGTATCAAAACCCCGTGAGAATCCTTTTAACTCGATTTTCCGCCGGAAGAGGCAATATGGCCTGCCTGCTTGGTGTCATTGCGAGCCCCTCAAAGTAACTTGTGCACCTGGACCTCCAGGACCTCCCGGACCTCCTGGACAGCCTGGTATGTGTTCTTCTTATTTTGTTATGCTATTAAATTTCCTTATGGCGTGCATTTTCTTTGTACCCAATTTTCGCGTCTCACGATGCTTATTTTCAGGAAATCCTGGACTTCCAGGCCCACCTGGTGAGGACAACAGAGTTACTTACGCACCGATCACATGCCCACCTATTGACACAGCGTGCATCAAGTGCCCACCCGGACCGCCTGGACCTCCTGGGATGGCTGGACCACCAGGAATGCCCGGAAATCAAGGTCCTCCAGGACGTCCTGGACCAAAAGGTAATGATGGGGGGTGCGGTTCAGCCGGTCTACCAGGAGACGCTGGACCACCTGGCATGCCAGGACCAGCTGGGATGCCTGGTCCCCCTGGAAAGGAGGGCATCAAAGGTCATGGAAAGCCCGGACCACCTGGACCACCTGGGCCTCAGGGACCTCAAGGAAATCCTGGGCGTGGTGGAAGTCCAGGGCCTACTGGCGCTCCCGGACCAACAGGACCACCTGGAGAGCCTGGTGCGCCAGGAAGCCCGGGATGTGATGGAACTCCTGGGATTCCCGGAGCACCAGGTGGATCAGGAGCCGATGCTCACTACTGCCCATGTCCTCCACATTCAAGGCCATATGAAAAGCGTGAATCAACTCCTGCCAAGGAAGTTTTGCCCATACCGTTGCCCTCGACTGCCAACAAGAAGCGTCAAACTCCCATCATTGAGCGCCATTCGACTCCCATCAAGGAGAGTCAGTCAGCTAAAAATATTGAGCGCCAATTGACTCACAACATGAAGCGCCGTTTGGCCCACAACATTGAGCGCCACCTGGCTCGCAACTTGAAGCGCCATTCGACTCATATCGCGAACCAGCACTCGGTTTTCAACAGGATCCATCACCGACGAAAATCTCACAAATACCGCAATTATTGAAATTAACTGGTTGATGTTTTCTTAGTATTGATCGTTTGCGGACCGCTGTAAATTATGGCAAATAAAATTATTAGTATTGGTGCAATACTGTTAATGTTTGGTAACAATATAACTCTTACTGAAAGGGCACTTCCACTGAAGGAAAGAAAGCTTTCGAAGAAGATAACCAGCTTAAGGCGTTTCAGTTGCCCAGAAAGCCTAAATCTGGTTATCTTCTTTAAAAGCTTGAAAATTTGTACGAATAGGTGTCGAGATCTGATCGCATAGGTGAATCTTCAATTTAATGTCCTGAAGTCTCCAAAGAGTTGTGGTCCACAGTTATCGTCTCCATCGAGACATGGGCGGAGACAGTGAACCACTTCGTCTCCTCCAACGGCGAGCAGCTCTCTGTATCAGCCTTGAGCAGCTCTATTCATCTAGCCCAGAAGACAAACTGCTTGAAGAAGGGGTTGAATAAAGGGAATAGGTGAGGAGTTCGAGCCTCCTCTTAAAGATAAGCAGTTCATTCACTTCTGTGGTTCCTTGCCAGTGTTAGGTGAATGGGTCCACAGCTGCGGTATGCGAGGTGAGGGGTCCTGCAGTATGTGAGGTGAGGAGGTTACCGTAGCGTATTCCCTTCGCTCAAAAGTGCAGGGGACGGGGCTGAAGGAGCTGATACCAGGATCAAGTCTTCTGACTCCGCAGGCGTGTAAAGCGCTTGACAGTTCGTGATGATGTTCGCCACTGGTTTTGGACACTGAGATATCCATTGGGAACGGGTCCATCATAAATGGGAGGGGCAGGCTTTTCATAGGACTTTTGGAAGTGGTTAAAGACGAAGTACACATTTCCCCTCCGTGGATCCTGGTCTCCGATGTAAGTGTGGAGAATGGGCTCTCAAGTACAGTAGCCACTTTCTCCGCTTATGACATGGGAAGGGATGGAGAGAACTGATGACCGCATGCCGTCTCCATACCACGCCCTCGTTGCCGCACTGCCAGCCAGGCTCCCAGCCACAACCAAATGCGCTATTGTCCGCGCTCTCTCGCTTGTGATTCTTCTCCCGATGAGAACGGATTTAGTACCCTCGTCATCCGGGCAGTTGATTAGGGCGGTCGTCAACGGGCCGCAGCGCGTGCCAGGAACTATTTGCTTTTTCCAGGCTAATTTAGTCATTTTTTCCAACTTTTCACTGTTTTGGCTACTTTTTCCCAGATTAGCAGCTCCTTATCTTCACAAGGTGGAAAAAATGACTAAATTAGCCTGGAAAAGCAAATAGTTCCTGGCACGCGCTGCGGCCCGTTGACGACCGCCCTAATCAACTGCCCGGATGACGAGGTTATATCGGTGCATACGCTGCACCTCGAGAACAGCTCGGATGGAGGATTGAGGCGGCACTTGCGTACCACTACCCCACAGCCCGTTCTCGTGCAGCTTTCCGGACAAAGTGGCATGCTAATGCAGTTGCAGATCCATTCTCCCCACATACGGCAAGCACCAGGATCCACGGAAGGGATCGTGCAGACTGCTTCGAAGCCTTCCGGAAAAAAGATAAATATAGGTTGGAAGGAAAGTCCTGTCAGTGTTTTTTGAAAAGCTTACAGTTTTTGATTCTCGATGCTCGTACATGACGTAACATGCTATGCTTGTAGGACACTCTGGGAGCTTTCCTGCAAGAGGCGTGTGAGGGCGCCTGCTCTTCCCTGGGTTTAATTACGATGTCAGTTTCACAGGAGTATCTTCGGGTCATCATCTTCTATCAGTGGCCCCGCGGCACTGGGGCCACGGCAGCTGTCCGTAACATCAACAGTGCATTGAGAGAGGACACCACTACCGTCAGGATCGTTCACTTTTAGTTCGCTCGCTTCGCGAAAAGAGACTCGATCCTCGAAGCAAACCTTGGTTGGGACGGCCCCAAGAAGTATAAGACTCCACCATTCTCGAAGCAGACAAGGGGGATCCAGAGGCTACCACCGCAGTCTTGCGACAAGACTCGGATGTACCTAACTGACAGTCGTCCACCGCCTGTAAGCCCTTGACTACCAAAAAGTACTGGCTCGATGGATCACTCATACCTTGACCGATGGCACGCTGTGCACCCGGGTACCCCTTGTCAGTCTCCCCTTCTCTGCCCTCGTCAGAAGGAGTTTCCGGGAGACTGCTTAGTGGGGATGAGAGATGGGTCCTCTATGATTTCAACCCACACAGTACCGTGCGTCCCTCTCAAAGAGAAGATCCATTTTAGCAGTCCAAACCGGGCATGTATTCCGAGAAGGTTCTCCTGTGCTGCTCCTGGGACGCGAGGAATGCTGCACAATGAGCTGCCCTGTAAGAACACACGATCACCGCCACCATTTGCGTCGCTCAGCTCCCGAAACGAGTGAAAATTGTTGGAGAAAAATGACCGAGACTAGCTTCGGGTCACCTCGTTCGTAGTACACGAGACCCCATACCTGCTATGAAGACCTACCAAATAATTGAGGAGCAAGGCTGGAAGACCAGTCCCCGCTCATAATATTCTCCTGACGTAGTCCCCTACGACTGCTACCTGCTCCGCCTCCTTAAGGCTTTCTTAGCTAAGAAAACTTTCAGCAATTTTGATGACATCAGTCGAGAGGGCGCTGACTTACTCTACTCGCAGCCTTCTCAGTTCTGGGAGGAGGGGAATGCTTACCTGTCCATTGGGTGGAGCACTGTAGTGGCTAACTATGAGTATATTGTTGACTAATTCCCACTGTATATTGAGTTAGAAAATAAAAAGAGAAAAAAGTCACAACAGTGACAAGACTTTCCTTCCAACCTATATTTATCCATGCTCGCGAAAAAAGCGAGGAAGGTGAATGACTGTAAGTACGCTTTCAGGTCGACAGTGGTGACTGGAGTCTCGCATCTTCGCTGCGGTGATGACTAGGATGAGGCAACGGGCTCACTGGCAGGCGACTGTATCGCCAATTTGGTGCGCTCAAGTTCCTTTCACGGGTGGCATACCCACGAGTGGCCGCAGGATCTATGAGAAAACATCTTGAACTTTTTTTGACCCCCAAACTGCCCGCTAAACATGGATATCACTGTCCCCTGCTGAGGGAGAAGAAATTGCACTTTTTCTGAGAGGAAATTGCAGTCTTTCGATGTTATCGCCTTTTTTACTTGCACGTGGATAAATATTTATATTTTTTCGTTTCTTCATGAATATTATTGTCGTCATGCTTGTACAATACTGAAGGCATATGGCACGATAATTTGGTACTCGGTCTGGAATGCTAGCAAGGTACATATTGGGAAATAAGGAAAAAACTAAGCGAAACGGTCAAAACCTCGCAGAAAAGCCTTTGTTCTTCACCTTTGTTCTTCACGACTCAGAAAGCAATTTCGGACGAGTTTCCCTCAGGCATCTTGCCAATAACCGCTACGGTAGGTACGCTGCATGTTACTACTCATAGTATATCCATGGGCACCGCGGACGCTTCATGCAATCCCTTCGCTTCACATTTTACTTAGCAAATGAAGCAATACGAGCATCAGGTACGGTCGTCCATTTGTGGGCGGGACGGGCGCGCTGGGCATCTGGATCAGCATCTTGGAGATTTATAGCCCTTTATAAGTGTACATTCCTTGAGAAAGGCGCTACGCAGCGCCTGCTCGAGAGTGCGAAATTCCGTCCTGCCACTAAGGACACAGACGGTTGATTAGTCCTACTCATGGAAGGAGATTGGATCTGAGAACTTCCTTTGAACAGAAGGTCGAAAGTGTGGTAAGGCGGGCGCATATATTCTAACAATCAAATCTCCGGAGGGCAGGCCCATCATTATGGTGAGAGAGAACAGTGAGGCCTGGAACATCCAAAGGTAACGATAAACAGGGAGGGGGTAAAAAAGTCAGTGTCGACCGGAGTCACATATCAGCAAAGTTTCGGACAGTCGCCAGACAAATGACAGGAATAACGAGGTACCCCATAAAGTGCGGGGCAACGGCAGAATACGAGTACCCACAAAATGTTCGCTCGGCTAGCGAGGCAGGGGCAGGCTCTTGATCTATCAAACCGAGTCGCACGTACAGTACGGTGCGCGATCGACGACACTATGTGCGAGCAAGCTACCTGAAGGACCAGGCAACTACTTGATCTGGAAGACCATGCCAACATCGAGCTGTTGTCGACGAAACTGCGCTTACTGAGGTCCAAGATATGAAGGCTTCACCAGCAGGCAGCCAAGCGCGACGGTTTGATATAGAGTATACGGAATTTCCTGGATTGGAAACTATGATACATCCTTCGTGGACGCCCGGATTGAAAGTATACGGTGACGTATTCATCGAACCAACCGAGAAGGAAATGTCCTGCATATCATGCTCGTCGCCACCGGGTACATGACCTTCGAAACTTTGTGCTGGCTACAGGCATTGGGGTGTTACCAGAAAGATAGAATCAAAAGCGGTTGGAAAGAAACTCGAGACCTATTGGAATTGAGAAGGCGTGTGAGAGCACCTGAAGAAAGGTGAACGAATATATCCGATAGTGGTTGCCGACTACTCACTAGAAACTGCTCGATGACCGTGTTTGGAGGAGCGTCAACACAGGTAGCTACATGGCGAAGAATGATAGCGACTCGGCTGAAGCGAGAGAGGAATGCATCGGTCGCAGGCAGATACTCGTTCGATGGCGCTCGTCCAGGGGCCTGATAGTGCCGAGAGTATCGTGAAATAGTAGTAATAATGGTGTGTTGACGTCAATATGAGGGTAGAAAAATATCCAAAAATGTAGCATGGCGTAAGCGTGTGGTCTCGGAAAGGTTGAGAGGCGAGTCTAGTACGCGTGAGTAGATCCCGAGATCAACGTGCGAACTATATAGGAAAGCAGGCTTAATATCAGGCAACCGCGGCAGGCTACGATCAAATAACTGTATTACTCCAGGAGTGACCATAAAGTTTGGGATACAGCTGTATAATCTACTTTTTTCGGCCTCGCAATCTGCACAGTGGGGATAGCCCCCAAGATTGAATTGCATTGCAACACTGACAATGAG